GCATCCTATGAAAAAAGTAGTTATTCAAACCATGTCAAATTAAAATTACTTACGTTTGTTGTAGTTTGTCATAATATTTCACAATTATTTCTTTTAAAAATCAATAAACACCGTTTTAAAATATTGCTTTTTGACTTTATAACATTAATATCTGAAGTCAGGGTGTCATAACCAACATGCAAGAAACCAGAAATTTAGACTTTAGACCCTCAGGTGTCACGTTATGCTGTTGAGGAAGCACACAGGAGGCACGATTAAACGTCTTTAATCATCGCCCCCTCCCGGAAGGTGCGTCCTCGCACCGTAACAACAACAGAGGGAGGCATAGGTGGGAGCTTGGAAGGAGGCTCAGGAGGAGGACGAATACCCGGGAGAGGGCCGGCAGAGAGAGACCAGGGAGGCAACGAAGGAGGGAGGAGACAGGAGGGGCCCGGAGCAGGAGGAGCCAAGCAGGACACAGACCACAGCCATGATGGCGACCCACGGTGGAGCCGACGGATGGAGGAGCCATGGAGGAGGAATGACCGCCAACTCCAGGGGGCCGACCAATGGCGGCGGAGGAGGCCGAGGCGGAGACGGAGAGTCAACGAGCCAGGGGGGTGCCGAGGATACGGGGGGCCAGGGTGGAGCCGAGGGCTCTGGCGACCAAGGCGGAGGCGGAAATCCGGAGATCCGCGGCGGAGCCGGAGTGACTGAGGACCAAGGTGGAGCTGGCGGGAGGAAGGAGCCCAAAGGAGCCGGTGGGACGGAGCGACGAGGTGCAGCCGGAGGAGCGGAGTCCTGAGGTGATGGCGGGTCGATGCCCGACCAAGGCGGAGCCGGAGGGACGTGGGAGCCCGGTGGAGCTGGTGGATCGACAGGTGACGATGGAGGCGAGGGAGCTAGGAGCCGAGGGGGAGCCGCTGGGTCTACAGGCCGAGGCGGAGTCCGGGCCTCGGAGGCTGGAGGCGGAGGTGAGGGATTCTCCAGCCATGGCGACGCTGGAGGATGGCAGACCCGTGGAGCTCGCACCGTAATGATGGTGGGCTGAGGGCGAGCAGAGGGGCTGCCAGATGACAGCGGTGGAGGAGGCAGGAGCAGGTGGGAGTGCAGGCATTTGTGAGCCTCCGGGCATTCAGGGCTAAACTCTGGATCGGGAGCCCCCTCTAGGCTGAACACAGGAACAGGATGGCGCTCAGGAGGAGTGGACACTTGAGGGCGCTTACGAGGAGCTGGCACTGGAGGGCGCTTTCTAGGAGCGGGCACTGGAGGGCGCTCTGGACTGGAGCCCTCTCCTCTTCAGTTTGGCACTTTTGCCGTGCCATACTCAGCTCACCCTCAGCCGCGGTGCAGGGGGCGGAGCTCCTCTCCGCGGTCACACCATCCGCGCCTTTCTCCCTCGTGGCGGGCATTGTCGCCGGCTCTTGCACCTGGTCTGACGAGTTGAGCTCTACGTCCGGGGCGATCCTCTGCTCAGTCGCTCGGCTTTGCGCTGGCTCACTGATCGTGGCGGGAATTGGCTCTCCGTCATCGGTGGGCTCGGGCTGATGCTCCGCACCTCGGGGAGATGGTGGGCTGGGCACTGGGTCTGGAGTGGATCGGAGGAGATCATCCACGGGGCAGGATGGCGATCAGTTTCTTGCCATAGTCCACTCCATGAAGGCAGCGAATTCCTCTCGAAGACCATCTTCGGACGACGGCGCTCTGCACGCGGTGTTCAGGCTAGCGTCATAGAACGCGCAAGAGCACATCATCCGGGTAGCTGGTAAGTTCGGCGAGGGCCAGAAACAGTCTGGTATGGTCCTCAAGCGAGCGCTCCCCCTGCTCCAGCAGGAGGAGGAGGAGGAATTCGGGGAGAAGGAGGGGATCCATAGAAACAACGGGAACAAAAGAAAACACTGAGGAAAAAACGGAAACAACTGTACTTGGTCAGGTCTTCTGTCACGTCACGCTGTTGCGGAAGCACACAGGAGGCACGAGTAAACGAGAACTGTCTTTAATCAAGGAAACTCGGGAGATAATCCACAATAGGAGCTTGAGCCAACACACATAGAGAGCGAGTAGACCTGACAAACACAAACTGAACAGACCAGGCCTTTAAAACACAGGGCAATCAGGGGAACCCAGGTGACATCAATGGAGCATAATCAAACTAAACGAGGACAGGAACATGACCAAATAAGGAAACACAGGAAGGACTACGGGGGCAAAACAGGTCCAAAAGTCTGACATCATGACTCTGTCAAGCATTAGGTTTAAAAATATCTAAAATTTTCATCTTTTTCTGAAAATACATGTTTTGTGGATCAAACCCTCTAAATTCTTAATATTCATAACTCAAAAATGCATAAATGCAAAAACAGTCCATTAAAAAACATTTTGAAGTGAATGATTAAGTGCACACGTTTGCTGAAAGTCCAATTAACTTGATGGCTGCACCACTTGACATATGTGTAGAAAATTGTAAAAAAAAAAAATAATAATTATAATAATAATAATAAATAAATCGTATGTAACATGAGTTAATATTAGTTACGTTATTAAAAACTTGCCACGTGTGTTTAAAATATATTTTAGAAAATTTATATACTTTAGAATATTTAATATTTTAATATATTTGAATATTTTAGAAATATATTTTAAGTTAAAAATAGATTTTAGAACGTCCATCATCTTGGACATTCTCGTTGCTCACATAGCTACAATTACGCGAAATACGATTTTCTGGTTTTAATAACCATTAAAGTTATAGTGAAGAACTGCGTAGTGACAGGCCTTACTATACATGCTCGCTCTCTCTTTCTATTTATAAAGGAATCTCTCTCTCTTCAGTAAAAAAACATCGTGTTCTTCTTCTTCTATCCTCAATGCATGTGTTCAGATGTTGATCTTACCTCAGCGGCTGCTGAAAGCAGGGAGAAGCAGCAGAAGAGAAAGTGGATCAGCGCGGCTCTCATCTCCCCTGTGGTCCAAATGTGTCCCAGCGCAGGCGAAACCTTTCCGACCGGAGCCGCAAAGATGCTCCAACCGGCGAGAAGCCGGGGAACATGCCTTTCCACAGAAAAATCTCTCAAAGGATAAACTCTTCACAAGTCAGAGACGAACAATCTAAACCCGACTCTATGAAATCAAACGAGCTCCTATTAATAAATTATTGACGCTGCTAATCCATTAAATTTAAAAAATCAAACCCGCAAACCAGTGCGCAAGATCATTTCTCTCCTCACACACACACACACACACACACACACACACACACACACCCACAAAC